CTCACTGGCTGATAATATTTGAAACGGCAGGCAAAGAAACGTGACAGTCCTCCAGTACCGTCCAGCTGGAGCTCCTCCGAGCAGAAGCAGGCTGAGAACCCAGACAGGAGCGCCACTTCTCCAACTCAGGTGCTCAGGTGCCGTCTGGACATGGCCCAACCTCAAGTCTATTTCTGGGACTTTGTAGCTCACTGCTGTTCCTGGAACCAACTAATGGCGATGTGCTGATGTGTAAACCCAGAGTAATGTTTAGGTGGAGGCTCATAATTCTATCAGCAAAACATACTATCTTTTTCATAAGTCATCAAACTTGATCACTTAAATACATTGATAGGAAACTGGAATTAGGAAAAAGACACCACAAGCCAAATTTAGAATTGATAAGTGACTTGCAAAGTTCGTATTCTATAAAATATAGCAACATTTATGAACAGTAAAAGTTAGCCTTTCTAATGGTGTAAGGATTATCACTACTGTTTATGGAAAATACATGCCAACTGCTTTCAGATTAATCATCCATCACAGTGATTTGGAGTATGGAAGCTTGTGTTAAGTATGTAAATTTGTTCTTCCATATAATCACAAGAACTCTAACCCCGAAAAATTAAAGTGTTTAAATTTACTACTTAGCATCCTTTTCCTGAGCTAAATATCTGGACTTGAGCTAAATATTTCTGTTCCCTGACATAAATAAAATCTGGAATTGGGGATAAAAGGCTGCATCAAGAAAGAAGGGAATGATGTCCTGCTTTATAAACGATGGGCTTGAAATCCATGTCCAGAACTGCCTCTTAAAGCTGCACATGGATTACGGAGGTATAAGATGCTTAAACAGTCTGGAATAGGACAAAATATTTGAAATTGACCTCCTATACAGACTGAACTGATAAAAGTAACAGTGTTTGGTATGTGCAGGGTGCCGTTTTAGTGGGTGTGTGAGCAGACTGAGGGGGGAGCAGTCAGAAGAGATTCAGTGGGGGGCGGGGAGGTCCCTGGAATAATGGAGGTCTAGTGGTGATTCTTGGAATGGAAATGCAGGGCTGAGGGATTTAGCCATAAAATGACTCATTATGACACTCTACTAATCTCGTAGATCAGTGTCTTGCTCAGCCATCACCAGAGAAGCTTCCTCCTCTGGTAGATGGGAATAAATATAGAGACCCATACCTGTACAAGGTCCAGAGGATGCGGACCTTGGAACACTCTCCTCATTGCCGTGTCTCTATCAATTCCCTCCCCCGAGGGCTTAGGGAACCAACCCCGAGGAAGAGGAAGCAGAAAGAGTATAAGAGACAGAGGGAATGCACACCACCAAGAGAACAAGGCCTTCTAGACACAGCATACATGAACTCAGAGCGACTGTGGCAGCCTGCTCAGGGCCTGCGCAGGTCTGGGCCTGACAGGGTCCCGCTGCAGAGGGAAGGTGAACACATGCTCCCTGTCCCTAACCCAGAGCTATTTCCATTTGATAACCACTCACAAATGAAAACTTTGTTTTCCCCAGTGGAGTCTCACGGGGTATACAAACCACTCTTACGGGCAGGCCTCTTTCCCAGCAGGAGATGGCCAACACAGAAAGAACTCAATGGCATTTTAGAGGTTCCTTGTCTCAAAATGCTTTGGGAGGAGGGAACTTTTTTTTTTTCCTTGCATACATTTTACAGTTCTAGTTTGTTCTTTTAAGAGATTTCTATGTATGTGAATGTGTATGCCTCTGTATGTACATGTGTTTTTTAACCTTTTTCTCTTGCTCTTTCTTTTTTCTGTTTGTTCTTATTTCATCTAATTTTTATTATTTTTGGATGCCTATTTGTATCCTAATAAGAGACAGAAAGGAATGGTATGGATTTCGGTTGGTGGGAAAGTGGGGAGGATCTGGGAGGAGTTGGGAGAGGGGAAACTATAACCAAAATATATTGGATTAAAAAATCTATTTTCAATAAAAAATATAATGTAACAAAAAGTTTAAAAGTGTAGGGAAAATAATACATTGCGAAATTCTCAAAGAATAAATAACTGTTTTGAAAAAGAATCTAAGAGCCTAATATCTTCAAAAATAAATTTTAAAATAGGTATATGTCATATACATGTGTACACTTGTAAAAAAATCAATAAGAAGTTTTAAAAAAACAAATTTTAAAAATTCTCATAAAAGGACTCAGGGTTGTCTCCAGTCCTAGACACAGATATCCACTACCCTCCCCATTAAGAGCAAGAAAAAGGCCTGGTGTGGTGACACACACTTTTAATTCTAGCACTTGGAAAGCAGAGGCAGCTGGATCTCTGTGAGTTCAAGGCCAGCCTGTTCTGGGGCAGCCAGAGCTACACAGAGAAATGCTGTCTCTAAAAACCCAAATAATAAATAAAAATAATGATAAATAACACTAATAAGATTAAATAAATAGTAAGAAACAGGGGCTGAGGAGATGGCTGAGTGGTTAAAGTATCTGTGATTTTGCAGAGAACCCTGTTGTCCCGTCCCCATTATCCACATGACAGCTAACAACCATCTTTAACTCTATCTAGGTCCAGGGTCTCCAACCTCTCGGGGCATCAGACATACACATAATGCATACCATTCATGTAGCAGAAACACTGTACACGCAAAATAAATCTTAGAAAGACATTTTTAAAAAGAACAAGAAACAATGGTATCTGCAACCAGAAACAGTCTTCAGAGATGTCTGTAATGTTAGTTCTCTTGTTATTCTGAGACAGAGGAGATGGAGGGATAAAATTAAACAGCAACAGCCTTGGAAATGGGACCTTTCCTCACTCCTTCCTACCCACCTCTATATGGCCCTTTATCACTCACGACACATAAATCATCCATAATTCAGCCCCTCAGTGATAACCTAGACCACCAGATCAACATACAGTGCACAGGTCACATGGCAACTGTAACATATAAGCTTAGATACATGTTCTGAGAGGAAACAGACCATTTAAAGTGGCAGCATTTCTCTCCAACTGCGCAAAAGAGAAGCAGGGCAACAGATGAACACAAAGGTCACACAGTTATTCAGATGGGCGCAACATGTCGGAAAACCCAATGGCCCCTTTCTGAACTACACTGACTGGAAAGAGTTAAAATAAAGTATTAAAACAGCAGGATGCAGACGTTATTGTGGCAGTGATGACATCTGAAGCTCTGCAGTATCCTTTGTAACAAGATAAAATGCTGTAAGGGTAACATAGTTAAGAAATGATCTGCCTCGGGCACTGCCTAGTAACTCATTTCCTAGAACAAGGTGACACTAATGAATTCTTTGATTTGAATCAATTTTCTACAAACACGGTGCCATTAAAAAAAAATACGTTGTTCAGTAAAGCACATCTAGACCATAGCTGTCTATTCCACAGCAAAGCACTCAGGGACAGTCCTCAGTCATCAAGCTTGGACTTACGGTGAAGTCTTAGCAGTCTTCCCTGGACACCTTTCCCTTCTCTGTGCTCCGTAGATGCTTCAGTTCAACAGCCTAGACCCCACCCACCCAGGGCAGCTTTGACCACTGCCCTCCTTGAATTCACCTTCAGTTCCATGGGGCTGGGGTGACAAACCAGTTGGTAAAGTGCCTGTTGTACTTCCTGTTCCTTCTCTCTCTGTCCATCGAATCCTTGTCTTTAGTTTCGGCCCCATACCTAAGTGCTTTTCCTTCCTTCTCCCTCCTGAGTCCTTTTACCTCTCTCTGAGTCTCTCATTCTCTCCTCTTGTTAGCCCCCCTTCTCTACCTTTCCTCAGCCTCAACAGCTGCTGCTCAATCACCCTTCCCTTCCGATTTCTGAGTCCTGCTATTTCTTCCAAGATCTCCTCTTCTCCTTTTCCTGTCATAGTCTCTCACAGCATGGCAACCACACTGCCCTCCCTGTGGCTCCACCAGCAGATCCCAGCCACACTCTTGTTTGCACAGTCTATGCAACAACAAAGTGCTCCAGGAAGGGAAACAAACAGCTATCCAAAGTTGAGCCATAAGACACCACACATGTGGGTATTTGGACACACATGATTTCTGGTTGAGATTTCATTTTTCAGGCACCTTTCTGTGTTTAGTTATTTACTTTTGCCCACTGTATGAGATAAGCCAAAGGACCATTGGGATGCCTCTCTCTCCCACGACACACCCCACTCTATTGCACCCCATCCTTTCATTAACAGTAATCCACTGGGGCCCAGGGTGGGGGCCAGTGACTTTCTAGAGCATCACAGAACACTCCAGCACTGTGAGAACAGAGTGGCTGCTGCAGGTGTCCAAGAAACACATGCCACAAGCATCCACTGTTCAACCGATACTAATCTGTTGTTTCACCAGACTGGACTTTGCTCGGAAGGCTGTATTCGTTTTCACTTAGCTATAATTTTTATTCTCAAAATGTAAATGGCAGGTCATGATATGCAATGGCTTTATTGTCGTGATAGCCTCACATGTGCACAAGATGGTGACCTAGAAATGCTGACTAAAGTCCCATGTCCCTGCAAGCTCTTTACTCTGGCATTAATTACCTTCTTCCTTCAACAGCTCAACTCTTGAAACTTTGTCCTTATGTTAAATCACGCTTTGTTCACATGCATGATTTTTTTACTGTAGATCCCAGATGACCTTTTGACATCATGCCAGCAAGAAGAGAGGCAGTGAAATATTTGAAGCCACGTGCCAAAAAAAAAACAGGTAAACATACTCTCACTAAGTCTAAAACCTTACGTGGAACAGACTTAACACTAAAAACAAGGCCATTTTGTCTGAAATTCTGATGTAACTGGCTGAACCCGGCAACCCAAGGCTATATTCCAGCCCTTCTTCCCTGGAAACAACATGGCCATACAAACATGGATGTTGCCATGTACACAACTTCCTTGAAATGAGCAGAAAAGAAGGCAAGACGAAGAAGAGAAAGAGTGAAAGGAGGAGGAGACAGAGGAGGAAACAAACAAAGAGAAGGAGTAGGAGGAAAAGAAGAGACGAAACTGCACCATGTTATGGATTCTCAAGAGAAACACAAACCTTGTTAGGTGACTTGTCAGGGATGCAATTTATCCGTTCCTGTTCACTTAGAACTGGGCAGTGGGAAGGAGTGGTTCTTGAGGTAGAGTCTGGCGTGCTAGTTCTTAGGACTGTAGTGTCTGGAGTGCTAATTCTTGGGGTTGTAGAGTGTGGGGTGCCAGTTGTGCCAGGATCTAGGAATGTCATATGACAAAAGTAGACTTAAAATGAATGGAATTGTGACCACAGGCATTCAATAGGGGCCACGTTTCTCAGCACTTACAACTCTATTAATTTCTCTACTGACCAATCTCTAGTTCCATGTGTTTAAAGTTCTGTGTTTTTACTTTATAACACCTTGTTTTGTTCTTGCTAACTGTATTTACCTCTGCGTATACCAACATCATCTCCTTCTTTGCTGGAGTTCCCCTGAAATATGGTACATACAAGACAAAGTACTCCACCATTAGGAGTTTGTAAAATCGGACACCAACTTGACTTGAGGCTACATCAGTAAACAATACTCTGTCAGTCGAATTGGGTCAAAACCTGTCTCTATAGATGAAGTATTGCTGGAGCACAAATACAATTATTTGTTTACAGCTACTTTACTCTTTGATGGCAATAGTACACGTGACAACAGAAACTGTGTGAGTCAGTCAACCAATCTAAAGACTGACTGGAGGTCAGAGGACCAGCCTGGATGGGTGAGTTCTTTCTTTCCATCATGTGAGTTCCAGAGATTGACCTCAAATCATCAGGCTCAGCAGTAAGTTCCCTTTGCTGCTGAACCATCATGTCACTGGCCCTGACAATCTAACACTTATTCTCTGGCCCTTATAGAAGAAAGAGTCTGTGGACCCCTGCAGGAGCTATACACAGAGAAAGTGCAGTAAAAGTGCCACCTTAAGCATAGAAACTTCAATTCTGTTTTCTGGGGGCAATCCCTAGTCCCTTCTGAGTGGTGAATTTCTCCTGTAATTATAAATGCCCAAGTGACAAAAGACATAAAGGAATACACAAATCTAGAAACTGCCCAAGGACTACAAAACTTTGATTTCTAATGTGAAGATCAGTAAAATGGAAAGGGCATTTTTATTGCACTCTGAAATAGGGAAGAAGCTTTATTTACGGTACTATCTTAATAAACAATGACATGACAAGAAAATGTTGCTTCTAGTTGTTTCTCTTTGCACTTGAGTTTCCAGTTAAACAAATGGTGTCTGGATCAGCTTCTGCATGAGGTTTTAGCTCCCTCTTCAGGATCATAGAACTTTAAACATTAAATGATCTTTAAGATTCTAATCTCATTTTCTGCAAAAAAAGAAATTGATATAGCTGGGGGTTGAGTGGAATAGACAAAAAAAAATGGTTTGTCTGTAGTCACAGGCTGGCCCTTCATTGCCTGGTTCTCACAAGAAGTGGTTCCTGTATTAGGCAGATAGGAAAGCTTGACTTGTTCAACACACCATGCCCATCTTTTGAGATATATCAGCTCAAAATTCTTTTGATTGAAAATAATATGTGTAGGTTTTTAAGTACCAGTTTGGGGCCTTACATAGTTGAATTAACATACAGTAAATATATATACACATATTTCCTCTTATGCAACATGATGCTCATTATCAATATTAGCAGAATTATAATTATTTAGTATCATCCAGCAAATACAAGTCTAAGCCAACTGTAGAGTTGGATCCAGTGCACTGACTAAATGTAGAAATGAAGGTTTCAGAATTTAAACCTACTGTCTATGGACCAGTCATGGCTTATACATACTCGGTAAGATGCGTACAATCTGCATACATTCACGTCCACATTCAAACATACACGAAGCAATATAAAAGCATGACTTCTCTACCATTGGTGGCTGGTTTGCTCTGATATGGGAGAGACTCAGAGTCACTCGTTACCATTTTGCGGTGTAGAATTGGCTAAGAGCACAATCAGAACCACAGCGATGATGAACAACACAAGCAGCAGGACAATGAGTGTAAGCTCCAATTTGCTGAACTTTTTAAACCTTGGTCTCGCCATCTGAAAAGAGAGAACAGTTCTAGATTTAAAATGTGTTTAATTGTAGCTAGTACATTTTTACTTCCAAAGCCCAAATGCATGTAAAACCTTCTACCACCTAAATTAAAATAAAAAAAAAAGTTCCTGACCAATTTCATTTTATCATTATTCCTATTTAGTTGTTGCCCTCGTCCTGAGCTGTTATGAGGCAAATCTCAAACTTCATACATCTTAACCTGAAAATGTTCCATTTTATTTTCAAAACACAAGAAACTTTACAAAACAACCAGCAAAAACACTACCATAGCACCTATATATTTTTACAGTTAACTCCTTATTGTCACCAAACACCTAACCAATGCCGAAATTCACTTTTTATAAACTCTTCAAATGACTTTTGTAATTTTTACACACATTCTCATAATCATTGGGCCTCACAAAGATGAAGTAGGATGTATGTATTGGTGTTAGTTTATATCTGAGTCACTTTTAATCCAAAGAGCCTGTTCTGTAGACATTCCACATAGCTTAGATGTCATCAATTGCTTTCTTATCATGCTAGTGTGTTTATCTTATATTTAAAGCTAATTAATAAGATCCAACTTTTTTCAGATTTAGTTTAAGTGATTTGCCAGCAAAGAAGTATAGATGGCAAAGCATCTTCATCAGGAAACATAAAATCTTATTTTCTTTCTTGTAGTATTTGGCCAGCCAAGATATATTACCCATTGGGAATTATAAAATGGGGTACTGTGATTCTTTTTTTTTTTTGGTACTGTAATTTTTTAGTCCTCTAATTGCTAGAAGAAATATTTCTATAGACAGAAATATAACCTTATCTACTACTTCCTTCAGAAGCGAGGGGATGCCTATGATGAGTTGAATGTCTAACTCCTTTATTTGCTACTTGTCAAAATACTTGTTTTCCTAGTATTTTTCAAGGGAGACTGAACTTAATGTTTCTGGTCATTTCCATGGCCGATGGGTCTAAGACACTTAACTCTTACTAACACATCTGCAACATTCATTCTCATGTCTTCCCATCTTTGCCCAGAAGGCACCTCTTCAACTTGGTACTTCCCTAAGAACTCTTGCACTGGTCTTCCTTTCTGGCACAATATGGCATCCCCGGTTCACCTTGTACTTTCCCTACCCTGGTTTGTAATTACATATCAGCCAGGAGCCTCTGTTCCTTCTAACGGGTGTAATATTTAGGAATGATAGTGCAGATGAGAGCCAATAAAATTCAAACTTAAGAATTTGAATTCCAGTGCTTCCTGAATCACTTGCTTAGTGGTCACTTTCTAAGGGAGTCATCAATGGGTCCTTGAAGACTTGCTATTTTAATTTATTTTAGGTTTGTTTTATTTTCTATCTATGGATGTTTTGCTTGCATGCATGTATAGGCACCATGTGTGTATCTGGTACCTATAAAAGTCGGAAGAGGGTTGCAGATCCCCTGGAACTGGAGTTACAGAAAATTGGTTGTAAGCTACCATCTGGCTGCTGGGAATCTAACCCAGGTCCTTTGCAAGAACGACGATTGCTCTCTACTGCTAGGCCATGTCTCCAGCCCCAGGAACTGTTATTTTAAAAAACACAGAAATTACACATTTACTTCTAGCTATGATTTGACTATATAGACTTCCCTCTGAAATCCTATGATAAGACCTAACACCCAGTGTGATGGTAAGTGGAGATGGCATCTTCAAGGAAGTGATTGTCAAGAGGGCTTTGGGTGGAAGGACTCCTGCACACTGTGAAGTTCTGTTCTTATCAGCATGCTCCGATGAGACCTTCTTATCTTTGAAGTGTTTTATGGCCCTACTATCTAAGACCCACACACACAGTAAAGAAGACCCATGAGCATCAGTCTTGCTCACTCAAGGCCACCTTCCTCCTCACCCCTCCCACTACTTTTCAGGCTGGCTTATAAACTAAGAGAATGCGTCCTACCTTCTTCCCTGAAACCTTGATGTAAAACTCTGAAATTTAGTTCCTATATCTTCATTCTCTACTCTATCAGTGTGTGGTCATATGCCCTCTCCTCATCCAGAATTATTCACAGTTCTATGCTCAGAGATTGATGACAAGAGGATTTACTTCTCATATACTGGTAAAACATATCTAGTGTTCCCAGATACTATCTATAATACCTCACACTAGCAAAAGCTTTATAAGAAATCTTTCTTGGCCAAGACACACAGGGGTGGGCCTAGACCCTACCCCAAAGGATATGACAGACTCTGAAGACCCCCTATGGAAGGCCTCGCCCTCCCTGGGGAGCAGAAAGGGTATGTGATAGGTAGGGTTTTAGTTGGGAAGGTAGGGGAGGAAGGGAGGGAGAGGGAACTGGGATTGATATGTAAAACAATCTTGTTTCTAATTCAAATAAAAAATAGAAAAAAAGAAATCTTTCTTGTAAAATTCCACAGAGGTTAATACTATTTTATACTTACTACAATTAAATTAACTGTAAGGCAAAAGGTGATCGTATGTTCACTGTAGGAGAAGGGGTATTAGAATGACATTCCAAGGAACCAGGGCTCTCTCTCTTTAAAGACTGCTTACAGCTGTCATGTGGGGGATTGCTCTTTATCCTATTGTTTTAAATGTTAAATGTCAGATGCTATGAAGGACCATCTCCCCCATCTAGACAAACTGAACACACATGGGCTTTACGATATCGTGGCAAACCTTTAAGGTGTATCTGAGAATCAATGCGTACGCAGATAGTTTTTCATCCTGAGGACAATGTGTCTGTCCTGAAGGAGGGCACTGAATACATGAAACACATTCAACTTTAGTATTATGTAAAATCATGATACAGTGAGTTTTGAGTCTACAAATCCTATGGTACACTTCTTTCCTGACCCAATGAAGCTGGGCTGCAGACTCTAACAGACTGTGATAAAAGCTGGACTTCCACAGCAGGCTGCAGATGCAACTGTAACTCCTTCCACTTTGTCACTTGGATCATATCTGAAAGAAACTGGCTGCCTATAAAATACTCTGAAGCAAACCTACAGAGATTTCCAGACTGCTAACACAGAACACACACGTTCTGCCTTGAATCACCTTGAAAGTGGCCCCTCCATCCCAGTCAATATACTTCAGCCTGAACCCCATGAATGACCCCTACCATATGCCTCACCTAGAGAAGCTGGGAGACAAGAAACTTTTATCTTTAAAGCAGAAAACTTTAATTTGTTACCTAACAATACATAACTAATGCAGATAGAAAAGTGTGACCTTTAAGTAAAGTTCATCGGTATTTTTGAGTCTTGATTCTTGGCAAACATCTTTTTGCTTCACATGCTCAAAGGTAGTAACTGCTCTAAAGAATCGTAGCATATATTTTCCAGATATTACAAGAGAAATACTTTCTTAAGCCCTAAAAGGGGAAGGGAGAATTACCATTCCAATATTACATGATTGGCGTTATTCTCATTTTCTGCATTAGTGGGACCTTGGAGGTGACACACACTAACTCAATTAGTAATGGAATTCAGTGAAAACCAAGGTTAGGCAAGACACCATAAAAGTAAAGTGGAGGTGAGGAAATGAATGCCAAAGGACGATAAAAAAAGTAGGAGTGGCCAAGATGATGAGCTGGGCTGTACCTTGGGAATGAGAGAAGATGCTCTGAGGATGAGGTCAAAGGGAACCCAGTTGTCTCAGCTTCAGGAGAAAAGGGGGCTTTATAAAGGGATACAAAAAGGAAAATCGTCACCAAAGTTTGTCCATACAAATCAGAATATTAATTTGATGGACCAAGAACACACACTTGGCTTCTGCAGGAAGAGGTAATTTCTCTTGGACAAAAGAGAACAAAAGGACTTGGGTTGGAAATGAAATCAGAAGTGCATTGCCACTATGTCACAGAAAAAAAAAAAAAAAAAAAAAAAAAAAAAAACCTTCTGTAGGGAGACACCGTAACCACACCTCCTAAGGGCTGGCTATAGGTGTCCCTGACCACACCTGCCAGGGCATGGTCATGGTGAGGTTAGAATGATGCCCGATAGGTTCTGAAGGAACAGCAAAGCACATGGGAGCCCCCCCCCCTCTCTCTGGCCTCCCTGCCCTGCTGCTCCTGGCATGCTCTGGCTTGTGTTTGGCTGGTGTTTTTCTAATAAAGGATATCTTTATCCCAAGCTCCTTTTATTTCTTAATAAACTTCACCTGAAAATCGTGAACTGAGGAAAGAATAGTATAGACTTTTAGAGACTTCATAAAAATTTACAAAACCAGCTAAGGTTCTAGAACAAAAATATTGATGTCTACAAAGTGGAGTCAGATATATGTTGATAAAAAGTAGTTTAATGGGGAAAAGTACTCATGCAAGGGAACCCGTGGCCAGGTTTGCACCTGAGCAGAAGGGACCCACAAAATGCTTCCTAGTCAGCTCAGCCAGGCAAAAGAGAGCCGTTTGCGCACCTCCCTCCTTCTTAAACCCTTGTTATATAACCCTGACCACGCTTGGGCCTGGTCACAGGTACCTCAATCAGGGTTTCTCCCTACACAAAAACAGGCTGGAAGTCAGACTACAGATGTAGGAAGCAAAGCTAAACAGCATCCGTGGCCATGATGGAGGAATACAAATTAGGAACTGGAACAGGGCTGCACAGTGGTGGCACACGCCTTTAATTCCAGCACTAGAGAGGCAGAGGCAGGTGGATCTCTGTGAGTTCATGGCCAGCCTGGTCTACAATGTGAGTTCCAGGACAGTCAAGACTGTTACCCAGAGAAACCCTACCTTGAAAAACCAAAACCAAAACAAAAGAAAACAAAAAAAGGAAAGAACTGGAACAGCAGTTTGTCCCCAGTGTCCTGAACACCTTCTGACTCTGAAAATAAAAGCAGAATGGAAAGGAGGGAAGAGGAGAATGAAAACAAAGAGGGGAGACTGAGAACGAAATGGAGGGTGTATTCTAGCTGCTGAAGGAAGCAGAAGCAGAAGCAGGAATATCTGAAAATGGTCTAAGGAAACAACAGCCATGAAGACAGGTCTCAGTTCAGCC